CCCCAAAACCCCAAAACCCCAAATGATAGATTAGCTCAATAAAATTTTATAATAATAAATATATTAGATTTATAAAATAAAATACGAAAAAATAACTATGAGAGTATACCTTTTAACTGTTTTGATACAAGGCTTATTTCATTAAATTAATGCTCAATATACAATGCCTATTGTATAAAATTAGACACCTTGTCTTTAAAATAAAACTGACAGTTTTTGTAATTCTGCAACTAAATTGACTGATATGTGCTGCGCATTAGCAACCTATAAATAAAAGTCTTCAGCGAATTCCACAACTTGGAATATAACTGTTACTAATTACTAGTGTTTGCCTAAACAAATTGTGAAGGGAATGATGCAGCCGCAAGCTTTGTCAGCAACATCACAAATTTAATATTCCTGTAATTCGGGAAGCTATAGTGTTAACCAAACCTCTTGCACATCAAATTAAAATTGTTCAAGTTCATCTTGTTGCGCTTTTGACTTTGGCTAGGTTGGAGCTAAGACTCCGGTTCAACTCAATACAAGTTATTGCTAACCTAGATCCTTGGCATTAGACTCTTAAATCACATTAATGTTTGTAAATAATACTAGCCCAATTTATACCCCTCCCATAACCTTATTAATGGCTTGCATTCCTGACTCAAACTATAATAATGATTATTCATAAGGAAACTATTCTTACAATAGCAACAATAGTTCAAGTGGTGATTAGGATAAAGCTTATGATGATTATGTAAAGCAAAAGTACGAAGGAATGTTTAGTGCTGGCTTTTAAGGAGACTGTTCAAGTATCAGTCTTATGGACTTTGTAAAAAAGAGCTTTGCGAATGTAATATATTTCTCCCTAGTTGTAAGCACTACAATCATTGGTACTATAAATATCATCTGAAACACATAAGTCTCATTAAATGCTAATTTCATTCTTAATCACTTTATTTATCGATTTCTATTTTTAGAAATAAACAGATAATTTTCTATTCTGGGGTTTTGGGGTTTTGGGGTTTTGGGGTTTTGGGG